AACGTATTCCCTGACTCGTCTTTCGCTCAGTGTCCCCGTTCAGCTTTACCTAAAAGCTGTTTCAAGTGTGTGTGTGTATGTGTGTGTGTGTATTTGTATTATTGTGTGTGTTTGTGTGTATATATATATATATATAATACAGGAAGCTCAGGAAACAATTACTGCCATGCTGAGTGTACACCTGGACTGCTTCGTGCTTACACACACACAGACTGAGCTATAAAAACATCTCGTTACACATGCATGAGCACGCACACACACACACACACACACACACACACGCACACACACGCACACGCACACACACACACACACACACACACTGACATGCACATACACTCTCTGTTTCTTGCTGGTTGCAGTTTTGCACTTTCTTCTTTTCCAGCTTGACTTAATATTTTTCTGTCTCTGCGCTCATCTTTAAACTAACATCTCTCTTCTTCTGTGTCTTTTTTTCTCTCCCGCTTCCTGCTCTCCTTCCTGAAACTCGTTTTCCAAACCACCTCTCTCCTGTTTTTCCCCTTCTACTTGCCTCCTCCTCACCTCCTCCTCCTCCTCTCTTACTACTATAGAAGTATCGTTATCAAGAAGAAGAAGGGGCGTCACCAGGCGCCCCGAGACTCCACCACCACCCCTGCCATCAGCACCCGATGGGAGTAGCCAGAGAGCTGAGGGATGGAGGGACCCTGGGGAGGGAGGGGAGGGACGGAGGCACCCTTGGGAGGGATGGAGGGACCCTGGGGAGGGAGGGGAGGGAGGGGAGGGATGGAGGCACCCTGGGGAGGGATGGAGGGACCCTAGCGAGGGAGGGGAGGGATGGTGGGACCTGGCGGCGAGAAGGAGGGGGCCCTGGGACCATGGAGAGAGAAAGAGAGCGATCGCTGGGAAGGGACGGATCTCTCAGACGCCACGCTGACCTACGAGGGGCGGAGCTGGTTCAGGTGGCGGAGCGGCATCTGTCTCAGATTCAACACGTTCATGGATACGTCACTCACACACACATCACACCCGCTCAGGTAACTACAGTGTGGACGTGAGTGTCATCATGCTGACATCTTCGATCTGTCCCCATCACATTTGCGGACTGACACAGTTTACCTGTATGTCACTCACACACTTCGCCAAAGGGATTACCAGCATGTCTGTCAATCCATGACTCTGATGTCTGACGACAAGTATTCTCACTCCTCTGTGAAGTCTTTGATTGATTTTCGTGTTTGGACTCAATTGCATAATCCATCGTCTTTATCCATCTGGTATATTCATTCATAATTGAGATTCAGTTAAAGTGTATTACAGCAGGTGGCGTGCTGGTGCAGCACTGTTGCCTTCTTAGTTCTTGGTTCAAATCCCGCTTTGACTGGGGCCTGTGAGTGTGTGGAGTCTGAACACACATCGGGTACCTCCTCCCACAGTCCAAAGTCATGTGGGGTTAGGTCAGTTGGAGACTCTGAAATGACTTCAGGTGTGAACGCCTGAATGTTTGTCCCTGGGATCAATGCACAATGTGTCCAGGATAAACAGTACAGATAACAGATAGATGGTTGTTGGTTCAAATCTTGGTTCGAATCCTGGTTTAATTGGAGCGTGGTGATGTTTGTTCTCTCTGTGTCTTTATGGGTTTTCTCCTCTGACAGTCCAAAGACTGGGACTGGAGTTATAGATTCTATATTGACTGTAGATGTGACTGTGTTGTGAACTACATGTCCCACAATCCTCTGTTCATTCATTTGAATAAAGAGGCTGGAAAGTAAAGGTTGTAGCAATAAAGCCAAATTTGCCGAAAAACCTCTTTCCTGTTCTATTGCGTCGATTCAAAAACAGGGACATGTTTTCCGCAGACTTCAGTAGGTGTGAATGTGTGAATCATAGTTTGTCAGCCTGTCCAGGAAGTACCCTGCCTCTCTTGTACAACGTCAGCTGGGATTGGCTCCAGCCCTTTTTAGATAACACCATTAAAGCGCAGCCTCGCTCTCTTGTGTTTTTAGAAAATAGAATGGATTTCAGAGTTTTGACAGCAGAGACCAGAGTGTTGTAATGTTTTAACACTTTGGTTGAGGTTTGGGACAGATCGTGGTTTCACTTAAATATTGATAAAATCACTTCTCATGTTTTCAAGTCACTGTTGACTTTATCATTGTATTTAACCAAAACCACAGATATGTTCATCAACCAAGTTCTTTATACCAGTTAAAAATGTAGCTTCAGTGACAAAATACATGTATTTACTCTGCAAATGAATAAAAATGTATAATTCCAATAGGAGACAGATTATTTTATTTTTTTTCGGGCTGCTCTTTTGTTTACAGTTGAATCAGTGAGGTTCTCTTATAACTGAAGGACTTTTCTGTTCCCTGGGATCCTGGGGCTTCCAGTCCTCGAGCTTAAGTTAAGCCTTTTATAGTGTCTGAAAACAAGAATGTGTCTAATGTGACGTTTGAAAGCGGCTTCTATTTTAGAAGATAGTGACTTTGCTCAGCGTCGGTCGAGGTGGCAGCGGCGCCTCCATTTTCCCACTTCACGTACAGAGAGAGTTGAAGGGGACGTGTTTCAATATGGCTCCAGATTTAGACTTTTTTGAAAGTACTTGGAAGTCACAGATACTGGCCTGATTTTGCCTCCGTGCACGGAGCCTTTCTTTGTGCCAGGAGAATACTTTTTGCAGAAGTGAGCGTGAAGGGATTCAGTCGAATGCTTGCCCCATTTTTTTAGTAATGAGGCCCATTTCTTCTACCTCTGTTCTGCTCTCAGTCTGTGTCTGTCCGGCTAGCTCCCTCTTTGTGTCTCTTTCTTTCTCACAGCGTTGTTGGGTTATCGTTTTATTGTGGTGGATTGAGCTGAACCTATCTGCAGATCCACACTCACATCAATAACCCTGCTGAGGCATCGGCACACAACTCAGACCCACACCTCATTATGCTCCACAATGTGTATGTTATCTCTTGTTGAAGAATTTCTCTGCTTTATATTCTCCTTCATTGAATTGTAGATTTTAATGGTGTCTGCGGTTAAACATAATTATACTATTTTTATGAGGGAATTTACAAAGCTGACCCATAGTCCATTTTAGTTATATAGAATAGTAATATACAGTAATTAAGACGTTTGAATTACTTATAACCACATTGAAATTAAAGGAGTTCAATGTGTCATTAGCAGTAGTGAGCATTAGCAGTTTTCCTCTGGTTTTTGTTTAAGTCACTAAAGCAAACCTGCAGTAATTTCAAGACATAAAAGTCTTTATAGACTTTAAACAGCTGATTGAAATTAGAAAATAAGATTTATAATGAAGAGAATTCCTCTTCTTCTTTAATTTCCTCTCATTTTCTATACTTCTTCCCTCTATCATCCCTGTTTTCCCTCTCTTACATGTAACCCTCTCTAAATTCTGGCATAACTGATTATCAGCACAGTTTTATTTGTATAAATCAACCTTTATTTTATCTGTAGTCGTGTGTATGATTGTATATGTGTTGTATATTGGGTAATTTATGTCCGTCTGCAGTGAGAGCCGAGGACTGTGTGTTACCGGTGTGACTGACATTTGTTTGTGTCTGCACTGACTCAGCTGTAAGTCACCACAGGCTCAAAGTTTGTCCTCTGGAAAAACTTTGGACACAAGTGAAGTCATTTTGTCAGAGTGATGGAGGAAGTATTAGTGTTTAGCTCCACCTAGTGGCTTGGAACCACTGGTGAAATGCTTCTGATGTGATAGTGTTTACTCACATGAGAAGCAGTCGTTCAGTTATTGATCGACGGAATGACTGATGATGTACAGTAGACATTATATTATATTTTCTGTGGAGAGTTTTAGGCTGTAATCTCTGTTGGATGCCATCTGGACACATTCACTTGTGACCACTGAGGCTCATCCGTACTTGTTCATGGTTGTGACATACAGGTCTCAATATTACATCATCATGATCATCATCATCATCATCATCATCATCATCATCATTATCATCATTACAAATACTTTCCATTCTAATCACTGGACCTAATGTGCTTGTTGCTGCTATTGTATTTGGGTATCCAGGTTATTTTTAGAACTCCTCCTTCCCAAATGGTGTGTGTGTGTGCCTGCCTGTGTGTGTGTCTGTCTGTCTGTGTGTGTCTGTGTGTGTCAGTGTGTGTGTGTCTGTGTGTTAATGTGGATGTATGAGTCTGTGTTGATGTGTGTGTGTGTGTGTGACCACAGGTGCTGGGTCTGGCTTGCTCCTGCCTGACAGATGGACCTGCCATCTTGTTCTCCCTGTGTACATGTTCCTTTCTCTCTCCTCTCTCTTTCTCTACCACCTCTCTTTTTTAACTCAGACACAGACTCACATACACTTTCCCCTCATTTCACCTTTCAGTTTATCTTTAGTGCACACTTGTGTTTCCACCTCATCATATAAATTATCTATGATCACAATACAACACATCTTGTGTTATGATATAACACTTAGAAAATACAATGGGTTATAATAAATGATCAGGAATAGATTATTGAGTATTGATTGTCAGTAGAAATATCAAAGATGATTTTGCACAGTGGTGCATTGTTTTCATCTATTTTCAGCTTCATGAATGGAAGACCGAAACTGTCCAAATTTAAATTAATAAATAAGTATATGAATTACTCAACAATATCTTTATCGATAAATAAATGCTGAAGTAAACATATAAATAAGTGTGATACTGGAAATACATATATAAGTGCCAAAATGTATTTCTTTTTTCATCTATCAATGCAATTAAGTATTTATTTATTTAAATATCATTATGATATTTATTAATACATTTATTTACATTTAATTTTGGCAATTTCAACTGCTGTAAATCTGAAACTGTTCAAATAACTTGGTCTCATGCAGTCACTCTGATATCTCTGATGGGCCGTTATTTTAAATAGAGAAAAACATGCAAAATGAACATGTCAGTTTGCCGCAGTGTGTGCGTGTGTGTGTGTGTGTGTGTGTGTGTGTTGCACCACGTTGAGCTGTTTCTGTACGTTGTAGGTAGAATCTCCTGACACTCCATATGATGACGAGGTGTGGCCTCACCCGGAGGGAGAGAGGCTGAACGACGTTGCCGCCCCGCCTTTCTCCTCCCTCTATTCACAAAGCCACCCCCACTACCACCAGGTAAACCTGCCTGCGAGTCCGTCGCATGCCTCCTTCGTTCTGCTCACTTGTGATGATGTGATGAAAACATGAAGTTGCTTTCAGTTGTTTATCGTCTCTGGATTTGGATCAGCATGTTTTTCCCTTCTTCCGTTTCTTGTGTTTTGTGAAACTTTTCTGCCCAAAGTTTTTTTTTGAATCTGTTGAGATTGCTGTCATTGTATTGGTTGCACATCAACACCTCACAGAGACAATTTAAGATTCTCCATATAGCATTTCATATAGCAATAAATTGTTAATAAGACAGAGAGCCCTAATAGGAAACGTTTCCTCTGTGCAAATGGAGCTTAAGTGCCAGAAGTCTCAGTGGCAGATGGTGAAAGGAATGAACACCGAATGAAAAATGACTTCCAGCATTTTTAGAGAAAGAAGACTCAGCTGTGGCAGAAGGGAGGGAAGGGAGAACTTTTTATATCCTCCTAAAGAAGAGTCATGCTTCAATACAGGGACACAATATCATTTTGTGTGTCTTGTTATGGTCATTGTACCCCCTTTATTATAGAAGTGTGTGCGTGAATGCGGTTCGTACTGTAAGTCATGTACAGTCCATTTAAATGAATAGACCTGGGTGTATTTGCAGCACAATTATCACAAAAATTATCACAAATGATTCATTTTAACCTCAAACATATGGAGTTTAATTCTACGTCTCTGTGGTTTTCTTAGAACGTTTGTTTATCGTGCTGCTGACTCTGTATGCAGTGTTTCAAGTACATGTAGTTACAGTATATACACTGCAGGAGGCAGCAGAGGCCAAAACTAATAATGTGTGCTGCCTTCACAAGTCAAGACCTGACTGGACAAAATTAATAAACGTAAGTGTTTGATATAAATAACGATGCCTGAATAATGTCAATGCAAACAGATATAAAGGTAAACAGAGAGCTTGTTATGATCAGTACTGACAAACCTTGAAATATAATGGAGGGTAAAAACATCCCATAGTGTGGGAGTGAAGCTGAATTCTGCTCAAATAACATCTAAACTGGATTCATCTGATGCAGACTGAACAGGGAGGAACAGTAAAAACTACATGATACACAAACACATACATATACTCCAGTCTGAGATGTTGGAAGCTCTTAGTCATTAAGCTAATGTAGATAATTAGGAAGAAGCAGGAAAGACAGATCGGGCCGTGGAATGGCAAGAGATGGGATAAAGAGAGAATTACAGGCACACAGACTCAGAGACAGAGCGCAGATTTGTTCCTGGTTGTTAATCACCCTGTCAGTCGGCCAAATCACTCCTCCCGAATGAGTCTCTTCTCCCTCCTGCTGATACACTAATTGAAATGAAAGAGTAAGGATAAGACCTGGGGCCGGGCAGCTGAACAATGAGCTGAAACTTGCCGTGAAGCTTTGGCGAAGCGAGGAGAACGGCACAGCTGGATGATAATTCATCGCAAGGGACCCCGTTTCACAATACACATAAATTGATCTGTTGTCTTTATGTCAGGCTGTACGTTGTCTGTGCTGCGTTGCTGAAACTCATCCCTTCTTCAAAAACTCGATAAACACCTGTTTTGGCTGTATTCTCATTGTGCTTGACCGGATGCTTTGCTTACTTTGTGGTGCTCTATGTCTATTAAGCTCCAGCATTTACCAGGGACACCTGTCAGCTCTTCAGAAATAGTCCTTACCAGAATCACAGAGGGATCTAATGGAAGGACTGGGTGCAGGCCAACAGGGTTAGGAATCACTACCTCGGTATAGATCTGCTTGGAGGTCAGTTTACAGCCCGTACAGCTGCACCAGCATCCCTTTACGACAATACAAACCTGATATTACGATGTTGTTTACAGTCAGGTTCACTCAAAGGTGAGCTGATACGATGTGATAGGGCAACAGAAGATCACATCTTTCAGTTTTGTTTGGCCACAAGAAGAGGTCTTCATGTTAAACATTAATACAGCAGTGTTTAAAGGGACTGAGGGCCCTGAGCAGAAGGACCAAACCCCTCATTCTAGTCTTCAACCAAACCTTTCGAATTACAAACGGCAGAACGCTAGGGGTTTCTGACCGTTGCACTTTTCTGTATAACTGATCATAGATTGTATCTGTTCTTACTAAATTGTGGTTGTTGTAGACTTCATCATAATCTGCCTCCTGTGTGAATACACTTAGTAGAGCACTCCTCCGCCAAGGCCTGTTGCTAGTTTGACCAACCAGGTCTGAGCAGGCGTTGGTTGCCCGCAGGTAAACAGTACATGAATATCGACAAACGTTCAACTCGTGTGATAATAATCGGATTGAAAAGAGTGTATTGTGGACAGAAGATGGATTCTTGGTCTGAATTTCCTACACCGGAAGCCCCCAAAATATTGGCCATTGCCAGGCTTTGAAAATGTTTGTCATAAAACATGGACCAAAACAGTGGAAAATCAAGATCTGTGCATTGTTCCCTGACAAATTATCATGAAAATGATAGAAAATGAAAATGTGAAAACAAAAAATTGAATCAGGCCCTACGGGGGTCACACTGTTTAGATCCTGCTAAGCTTAGACACACAATAGGTTGTGGGTCAGTGTGAGTGTAGGGCCCACAGCCAGCAAGTGTTTAAAAAAACCAAACACAGCATTTGCATGCAAGACAATCTATTAGCCTGGCTTATACCTGTAGGGGATAGAAGGGCAAAGTTGGCTCGCTCAGCAGTCAGACATTAAACATGCATGATGTGTGCTTTTATTTAATTGGTCCTAAAATATTAATAAAGCTGGCATTCACTGGCTGACATTTGACTTGAGAGAGAGGGAGAGGGAAATAGAAGGAAAAAGTGAAAGAGAGAGCGGCACATGACGGATTGTGACATATCCAGCGTGTCACTGAAATTTCTGCTGTGTCAGCTGGCGTGTCTGTGGCGGGTGTAGACGGTGAATGGCATATGCTAATGATGTGGTTCCAGTTGTAATTTATGCTCGCTACGATGACGGCTTCTTCCCGCCTGCTCGCACTGTGAGCGACATGATGGATGTGTTGTCTGATCTGAGCTATTGTGGCTGTTTCAGAAGCTCTGATGGCGTCGGTGTTGTTTCTGCAGCCACATGGGTTTCACTATGTTTATGTGTCGTTCAGGACGTAGACTTTTTATAAGGACAGATGAGATGACAGCGTCCACCTGGTGCCTGGCTGAAGTACAGGTTGTAAACCATGCCACCTCCATGTTAGTGGATGGAACATGTCAAAAGTATCTTGAAGATGTGTGTTTTCCAGGATGTTTCTTTAGGTGTTCATTGGTATAAAAACAGAGTCAAATGTAAAATGATTGATAGCTGAAGCTAACTCATGATTGGTTCGTTGCATGTAACCTTAATAATGTGGCTCCATCCCTTGACTTATCAGGACAAGATGGCAGCGTTCTTATTCGGGATATTTTGGCTACATTTCTGGATCGTGGGAGGAGGTGGAGACACGTCGTCCGCTTTTGCACTTGCAGTGTTGAGATGACCACTGTGTTGAAATTTGGAGAAATCCATGGTCAGAAATGCAATAGAATATTTACGATTTCCTTTTCATCTCTGTTGCCTGTTTAATTATTTCATTAACATTTTATTTCTGTATTATTTTTGTTCCTTGATCTTATTCGCTTTAAATGTTTTGATTGTGAAGCACTTTGTAACTGTTTTGAAAAGTCTACTGATCAAGTTTAGTCTTATTCTTTATATCTGCAGCCTTTGTAGAGGATTGGCAACTTGACCTGTCCCAGTCATATATTCAGACTGTTTTAAGTGTTCATCACAGAAGCCTCTTGGACAGTTGGTGCTTCAGGATGAGGGAGGTGTGAAACTCTCCATCACTCACCCACTCTGTTACCCCCGCCACTTATAATATATGCCAGGTTCCTTCATATTGTCTTTAATCAGAAAAAAACATCACGAGAAATCTAAGTAACATCCACTCACATCTTAAGGAAACACAACACAGCTAGTATATCAGGTGTATATCAGGACTCGGAAAGCTGTTGCCATAGAGACAGTTCCCAAGGAAACGCAGACAGAGGCTGTGACAGGGGTCCTGCTCCACCTGTGGCTAATCCTCGGGTGGTTGCGTTAGCTGTGCGGGCAACCCGACCTCAGATGATGGGGGCTACTGCAGAGTCAGTGTATTTCCAGTCTGAGTGATGGCTAATGAAGCTGTAACTTCAAGCCCGGCTGCTGACTAACTTCTCTTGGATTTGGCCCAGGCCTTCCAGATAATTCACGGAAGCCTCTGGGCCTTGATGCTGTGAAGACTCTTCTCTTGTCTTTTGTTTGATCTCAGCTAGTGCCCAGCAACAGCCTGTTGTTTTCCATCCTGGAGTCATGCTCTAAGCGTGTATGTCTATGTGTTTTTGCCTGTGTATGCGTGTGTGTGTGTGCATGAGGGCGAGAGAGAGAGAGTGTGGGAGAGCTGGGTGCTGCAGTGTCTGGAGGCAGCCTCAGGAGAAGATCTATTTAGCACACACACACACACAAACACACACAAACACACACAATCAACTACTACACACATATTCTTTGACACACACATGTTGAGAGCGTACCTGTTGTTTGTTTCTGAGTGGAACTGGCTGAGGCATCGCTCTAGTTTCACTCTTACTTCTCTCTCTTTCTCCCAGACACACACACACACTCACAAACACACACACACACACACACAAACACTCACTCACACAGACACACACAAACATGCTTATCATATTATCTGATGAGCCACTGTTTTCTTTATCTCTTTTACAACATTAGACAGACATTATTGCATATGTTTGCGTTGCATGAGTGCATGTGTGTGTGTTTGTGTGTGTATTTGGAGTAGTTCAAACGCTCTGTCATATCATTGGCTGGCTGCAAAGCAGGGGCGTGGCCAATGATATTTGACAGTGAGAGAGACAGAGAGGGAGAGAGAGAGAGGCGTCGGGTTGCAGCTCCAATAAAAGAGAGATATAGAGAGACAAAGATAGAGAGAGAGAGAGAAAGAAAGAG